ATGATGACTGAGAGGGTTTACTTATGAGCATTATTTGTGCTCACCCCGTTGTCTTTCTATGTTTTTTGCAGGATTTAGAAGTGAACACGGTCGAATGGACCGTCGGCCACTCGAGGAGGAATGGCCTACACTGGTCCTACATAGTTTTTGCTAGAGTTTTTTTGTTTTGATACTCAATTTTGTATAAAAATGTAATGTTTAATAAAAGAAAAATTTGGGCCCAACTACCTATTTATTATACTGTATTTTATTATGTATATTTTTATGAGTATTTGAGTAAGAAGTAGTTATTACTGTTTCATCTCATTTATAGGAAAATATTCTTTATTTTCAAAATTATGCAATTGGCCCAATTATTTTAATTGTATACCCAAGCATCCTTAATTTTCATATAAAGGCATTTTGGTCCATTTCACACTATACAGAATTTATTACTTAATGAGAGCCATAAATGCAATGAAGCCTACTCATCCTTGACTTTTCCAATGCTTATCCTAGGCAAAATGACCATGTCACCCCTAATGTCTTTCTATGTGATATTGGATTCATACCGTCCCACATGCATGACCCTATTTGCCTTAGTTATGTTGTTATGCTTTTAACATAAATTAAAACATCTAAGACTATTTTAAGTTAGGAACCATACTTTTTGAAATCTTGGGTATTACAGTAATTATAAGCTTTTCGTACTTAAGCGATACTGTGAAATCGCTTAAGCCGCCAAGGCCAATTATTGTCAAATTCATTTCCCCATCCTATGTGCACGATCGCTTAAACATTACATAGCTCGCTTAAGTTGATTTAGTATACAATAAGCTTTCCATTGCTTAAAGCAATCAAGTCAAAAGGTAAAATCAGACATCATCCCAATCACGATCGCTTAAGCGATGTCATTGTCTTGCTTAAGCGATCCGATAATTTAGCCTTTGTTGCTTAAGCGATACCATACAATCGCTTTAAGCCGATCAAGTCAAAGGCAAAATCAAGATCATCCCCAAGTGCCGATCACTTCAGCGATGTCATGTCTCGCTTAAGCGATCCAGTATATTTAGCCTTTGTCGCTTAAGAGGTTACCATCAAGTTTGCCTTTTTATGTGTCATCCCAAGTCACGATCGAAACATTACCAAGCATCTCCATTCCTAGTTGCACGATCGCTTAAGCGATGTCACGCTCCACCTTAAACGTCTAGTAGATATTTGGCCCCTTGTCCTGTTAGGTTACCATACATTCACTTAAGTGTATCCAAAGGTCCAAGGAAGATATCAAGATCACCTTAAGTGCATATTGTTTAAGTGCATGTCAGGTCCGTTAGCGATCCAGTAGATTTTTAGCCTTCATCACTTAAGCGATTTCCAGTCAATATTTAGCCCATCACTAAGCGATGCAAGAACCACGCTCTTAAGCCGACCCTGGCCTGCACTGTCAAAAATCATCTGGAAGTCCTGTCACGCTTAAGCGATGTTAGATCTCGCCTTAAGCTTATCCTAATAATAGGAAAACTCTTTTTCGCTAAGCATAATACGCTTGCTTAAGTGATCATGCCCAATCAAATATTAATTCATCTTTTCTCCCTCAATTTGACAACCTATGCATCAACACATATTAATTCCATTCTTTTCTCTATTTGACAACCTATTTCATCAACACATATTTCCTTTTAACAAGATCACTAAATAAACTCAAAGTAAAAAAGGGAAAGAAATACGGAATTGCTCTTTTATGAATCTAAATGTGTTCCAATTACATGAAAATACAACATTATCCACAAGAAATAAATGTCCTAACAGCAGCCCAAAATACATAGCCCCTCCATCCTCCCTCTCCCATCTTTGTCTCAGCCTTTCCCCATCTCCAAAATTATCCAGCCCCCCCTTCAGCATCAGTAGTACCCCTATTTGTTCTCTTCCTACAACCCCACCCTTTCTAACAATACCATTTTAATGCACCGCACCTCAATTATCCATTTTTTAAGACAACCCCAAAATTTATCATATAAAATGCATTCACATACTACAAAACTCTAGTCCACCTTCATTCCTATTGAGACAACATGAAACAATGACTTGGTTGGGTTTTGGTCGTCAAAGGTTGATAATTTCCATGGCATGCTTCACAATCCTAACAACCATCAGCATAATTTGTATTAATAATGAAAACATCCAAAAAAAGAACTGGTATAATAAGCGACAAAGCTACCGTTCCGTATAACTAAGGGATCCTATGACTGCAAAGCACTCAACAAGCCAGTGCTCCCGAAGTTGCTCATTGTACATCGTATCAAGCTGTCCATTGCGGGTGCTATTGTCCAATGTCGAACACCTCAAGAAATTTTTAGTGCATAATCCCCGTCAACAAAATCATTAACAATATGGAGTGAAGCATTTAGGATTAGAATTGCTAATAGGAATAATTGTATTATTATGTAAGTTTTATTACAAAATTTACCTCGCGTTCATTTGTCGGACGGGAACGGGCTTGTGTGGCCATTTTTCCCCCCTCCCCTCATCAGTAGTTTCAATCACTCAAGTGCTGAACATCCCACTTTCTCTCGCCAACAACCGCGAGAACAAGTGTACACAGCGGCTGCATCTCCTTGTCCAAACTGCCTCTCCTGACAATAACTCGGGTTTGCAATCAAGGACTTGAGTAAGCCCATCCCTCTATAGTCAGACGATGTTATCCATGCATATCCTTGATGTTCATGACACGCAAGTTTAAACTCCTTCATGTTTACCCATTGTTTTTTCCATATTTGGGCCTTTTCCCCCCTAATACTGCATCATCCCTCTCATCAAATTGATAGTCGGCAAGGACACCGTCAAACTCCCCTCTGCGGCCATTCTTTTTCGCTTGCGTCCCATTGTTACGCCTCCATCATTGGTATTTTCCATTAACACTCTATATATACTGTTAGAGTAGATGCCCAGAGCCAATCAATTATTGTGAGAATTGACTCTTTGTAATAATGTTTATAATCAATAAAAGGCATTTTATTCTATTGGCGTAAATCATTATTATTGCATCATTGTATTGATATTATGTTCCTTAAAGTGGTAGAACTGTGACGAGGGATCAAGTGTTTCAAATCTTGATAGTGAGAACCCTATGAGCACATATGGTGGCCATTCTAGAAACGTCGTACCCGTAGTATATTCTGAAGTAAGGGCACAGATAATACGGTAGCCTATCATAGTGTTGAACGACCCTGTCGAAAGGCAGTGACTGATCCACTTGTCAAGGTTGTTTGGTGAAACCTGGTGCAACACATGGTCTTGCTGTCGTAATGCGATACACCACAGCAAGTTTAACTGGACTGACCCCACTAGAGGATTTCCCTATTGGATAGTAACAACTAGTTTGGGGTCCTATGGAAAACACAACTCCTTCTACACAAATGGTGGTGGCATGTGAAATTTCCCTTAGGAAGGAGGACAACAAAACGGAGCCTCCAGTGTCTTTTTCCTCCTCATCCCGTCGCCCTGCCCTTACTTACACCTTTGGCCTAAAAACACATGCCAAGCCGGCAATTAGCGCTTCAAACCTGCAAGTCCTGATAAATCCATGTTTTCCCATAGTGGATTTTTGTATTGAAATTTCAATAGGTATGGCGATAATTTCTTCTATAGTTTTTTGGGCCATAAATGCGGTACATACATTTTCTATTAATTTTTTTTGTTTTTTTTTTTCTCTGTTTTTTGGCACAGCCTATAAACCGCACTGATTTGAGATCAAATGACCGGTGTTGAGGCGAAATTACAGTAACTCTGGGATTTTCAAAATCAGAATGGACCTGAATTAGAAGCTATGAAAGCTTAAGAAGCAAAGCTACAACTTTTTCATGTGTTGGGTTTTTTCCTTATTCTAACTGAAGATGGCAAAAAACTTAGTTGACAGTTGTGAACCAGCCCGTTGCGAACGTAAGAAAAACCGTCTTTGTTGAAAACATTGGCGTCAGTAGTTTTGTTCCATAGCAGAGCTATAGACCTCAGATTGGGAATATTCTTAACGATTAAGAAAGATACGACCCATGATACAACTTTTTTATGGGTTGTTTTTTTTTCTATGATCCCGTTTTCAGCTTTTAAAGAAAATGGTTACAAAATGAGCGGAAAAGTTAACATTTATGCCATGGACAGACCAAGCGATTTTGTTTTCAACTGTATTTTTAATTTTATAGTGTGGGCCTTTTTAACCATAATTACCCATCATGATTTAATACCAAAAGAGAGGGTTCCCTTTAGAAAATCGTTGCAGAGAGCTTAGGGTTTTCTGAAAAAAAACAAAAAAGACATGCAAGAGGAGGGGGAATAATCGAGGCCTAGCACATTCCAATTCAGAGAAGTTTGGGTGATAATTTTCCAAGATTCAATTCTCCAGATTTCCCGTTTTTGTTTTTTCCTTTTACAGGAACGACCTCAGTGTACGCAGGCGGAAAAAAACAAAAATTTTTACAACATGGGAACGTCCTTAGAACCCACAAAAATGCGGGCAACATAAATTACAGGTTTATATATTAAAGAATCTGCAGAAAATAAATCTAGAGTTTAGTATCATAACCCCACGTTTGGAGGCTCCCACCAATATGTTCCCTGAAAACGTTGGTTTTTGCTACCAAATGCAAAGGGGTGGACTCGGGGACCCCAAGAAAGTTTCCACACGAAACACAATGGAACCAATGAGGTGATTTTGCTAGAATCCTCTCTTGGCCTTACAAAGAATCAGACAGAAAAGCTTTTGAATTTTTTGGGGCCACAAACCAAAAATGGGGTGGGAGAGTTGGTTTTTTCCTTTTGTGTTTGTGGCGTGTTTTGTTTTATTTTTCTCAAAAGGCACAATTAAAATAGCCATATTAAATCACAACAAACACGTCCTCTTCTTTATAGGCAAACTTAGTTGTCCCTATTCTCCCCTATGGAATCGGCCCCCCTTGGGCCTTGTCCCCAACCCCAAACAACACCCTCCCAATGTTTTCCAACCCCCACTCGTAATTCGATTATTTTTTCTTAGACTGTCAGGTTAGTTTTAGTTTAACGGGCTGCTATGCTATTCTTCTAAATAATCTCCAGGGCATTCTGCACTGTCAATCATATCATCTTCTGGTTCTGGACTTTGATTTCCAAAATTGTGTTCAAGAGTCCAAGACTTTCTCTGATGGTACTATGGAATTTTTTAAATTTGCAGGACACCGAGAATGGAGGTATTTCTGATAGACCTGATGATGCCGTTGATGTCTTCCACACATATTTTGGAGTGGCAGGTATCTAATTGCTTTGATTCTGTTTATTTGACCTAAGCATATGACTTTGTTATTTTTCTACTGGCATCATGTTCAATTAAATCCTCATTTAGTTTTTTTTGTTTTTAGGTAAACTCTTGCTGATTCCATAACTAGTCTGAATTTCATAGTCTTTCCATTCCTTCAGCATCTTGCCTTTTACGTGGCCTAACTTCTTTCATTTGTGGAATTTTGTCTCCAGCATTTACCTCTTCAGTATTTCTAACAAGATTCTTCTGAAAATACTTTCTAACAAAACTAACAAGATTCTTCAGTAAATTTTATTTTTTACTACTGTCACCTAACCTCTGACCTTTAACTATTTGCTCGTTTTATTAATTTATCTATTTTCTGAGACGGATTGGATGTTCTCTGTTCCTGTTCTACTTTTTAAGCTTTAAATTATTGTCAGTTTCAAGGGTAGAGTTAAACTTATCCACCAAGCAACCTTCTTGGGCATTTCCATCCCGACCATGATCAGAAGGATGGAAGGGCCCTAGGAGGGTTGCTGGGTGGGTACAATTGTAATGCCCGGTTTTGAAACATTCCACATAATTGGAATTTACTGTTTTGACGCCTATATATCCTACTTTCCCGGCATGAGCTTTCAGTGTGATTATTTACCTTTCATAAATGTCATTTACCAGTTCTAAACTCTTTTTTCTTTACCATTGATGCAGGACTTTCACTTCTTGAATACCCTGGAGTGAAAGCAATTGATCCAGCTTATGCTTTGCCTGTCGATGTTGTAAATAGGATTTTCTTATCTAAGTAACAGGTTTATTTGGTTTCAGAAAATGCAATGTTGCTGGGGGTCGAGATTGGGGCAGTCTTACTTTCCCCCATTATGGTAGTGTTAGCCAATGTCTTTTGCTATTAACAATTCAGTAATTAATTATTGGAAGATTTATTTATGAAGTTTAGTTAAAGTATTACTAGATGAAAGATTGGACTATTATAAGAAAAGAAAAAGGAAACAAAAACGATATATATAGTTTGTTACATTACATAGTCCCCCTCATGTATCATTAAACAACAATTTACACATAGTATCTAAAATAGCAATTTATCCTTTTCAGTATTCCAGTAAAATGATGAAAACCTATGTGACTAACAGCTAAATAGATCAGTAATCAGAAAGGATAAATTGTTATTTTAGGTGCATTTTTTATTCAATGATTCCTTGGGCCGTAGGAGTTGGGAAGTTGAGAAGGGCGACTGTTTTGCTTATTGTATCGCATATGGCGTTCATGGTTTTGCTGGCAAGTTTGCGCAAGGAGAGTAAGGGCCTAAGGGGGACTCGGTGTTGACATTGACGTTGACTATTTCAGTGGTGGTGGACTGATAGTTGCAGTTTAAGGTTGGGTTGGGGGAGAATAGCAATGACTGAACTGAAGAGAGGAATTGAATATAGCAATTTTATTTTTTCCTGTGTCTATTCTATATTTTAAATACATTGAAGTAAAACTAAATATTTTTATAAATTGGCCTTCTCGTTCTCCAGTTGCGCCAAAAACTATGACACAACCCAAATTTTAAAAACAAGCTACGGCAAAGGCATTTGGATTGACATTTTGTGTTAGGTCAAGCCTGTCAATCAACTCACTCAACAATCAACACTTATAACAATTTCTGAAAGCAAAAGAAAAACAAACATCAACCATCATGCTATTTGTTTTAGAATTACTAGCTAAAGGGAATAACTACGAGTTAATTCCTTCTAGTTCTTATGATTTTAGTTTATTATAATTTAATAATTTTTTTTTTATTTTTTTGTCTAAAAACTGAATAAATCTACCTGTTTTATGATAGAATTTATAGAAACAATTTTATTAACAATGTGACATAATAATTTCCATTGACCAATTTTCTTATTATATATAATTATATATACAAAATTCAAATGGGTGTAGAGAATAAGTGTATATAAAATGAAACTATTATTTACCAAATAAAATAGTTGAACATTTTATAAAGAAACATTTCATAATAACTGATTCAAAAATATCAATAAAATAAAATTGAAAACATTCAAGAGAGACTAGCAATTTAGAAAATCAACAAAACAAATAAATTTCATGAAACTTGCATTAATTTGTAAAAATAAGCTGTTGAGAACAGTGGATTTGAAATGTCCCATCAAAAGCATGGATGCTAAAAAAAGCCCACATGAAAAAGGGGCTTTTGATTAAAAGACCAAATCAAGTTTAAATTTAATTAAAAGACTATGTAATTTCAAACTCTTAACTAAATATCCTTATTATTGATTAAGAGTAATTAAACATAGGGGTGTTCGGTTCTGGGTACCCTGCATTTTTTGAAGGAACCGGAACCGGAACCAACGGTTCCTTGAAATTTGGAACTAGAACCAGAATCGACGATTACGGTTCCTAGATACCAAGAACTAGAACCTGTAACAATAGTTTCGGTTCCGGTTCTGTTTGTGTGGAGCGGAACCCTTGCTTTCGCGTACGGCAGGGGCGTTCGGGACATCGAGGGACGGTCTTTTCGGGGATCGTCGTTTTGATCTGATTTTTTGCATGGTGGTGGGGGAAAATTCAAGGAACGATGTGCAACAAGAACGGAGCGATTCAGACGAGCGGATCTTTTTTAATGATTTTTCGAAGATTAAAAATTTAGAAAATCGCGAAAAATAAAATACTGTGCGTTTCGGGTCGGGGTCTGTTGCGTTGTGCTCCAAAAATCCCCATTTGAATTGTAGTGTGCAGATTTTGGGTGCACGCTTTTGGTGTGGAGCGGCNTGGTTGCAAGTTCGGTATGTCATTCCCTATCAGAAGTATGTCATCGACATACAACACTAGGAATGCCATTGCACTCCCACTTACGTTCTTGTAAACATAGGTCTCATCTTCATTCTTGATAAAACTGAATTCTTTTACGACTTCATCAAAACGAATGTTCCAGTTCCTTAAAGCTTGCTTGAGCTCATATATGGACCTCTGCAATTTGCATATCTTATTAGCCTTTCCATCAAGAATGAAACCATTGGGTTGCGTCATATACACATCCTCTTCAAGGTTTTCATTTAGGAAAGCAGCTATGACATTTATTTGACAAATCTCATAGTCATAATATGCAGCAATCGCAAGCATAATCTAGATGGATCTAATCATGGCAACCGGCAGAAGGTTTCTTCATATTCAATACCATGAATTTGTTTGAAACCTTTGGCAACCAGTCGTGCTTTATATGTATGCACCTTGCCATCCATGTTAGTCTTCTTCTTGAAGACTCATTTACACCCTATGTGTTTTACCCCTTCAGGTGAATCCACCAGAAAACCATGATTGGTTCTGGTACACAGAGTCTATCTCAGATTTTATGGTTTTAAACCATTTAACAGAATCTGGATCAGATACAGCTTTATCGCAAGTTATGGGTTCATTGTCTTAGTAGACCAGTACGTCACCATGTTGAGTACTGAGAAAATCATATCTCTTGGACTCATGATGTACTCTCCCAGATCTACGTAGCTCCTGTGTTACCTAAGGTGGTTCACTTTGATCCACAAATTGTGGAGTAACCTCTTTGCGATGTTCAACCACCTTTTATGGCACATCTACCCGTCCTTTGTCTAATGTATCTTGTGGTACTAGAACTTCATCGAGTTCTACTTTTCTTCCACTAGTACTTCTTAGAAAATTTCCTTTTCTAGGAAGACACCAGTACGAGCGACAAAAATTTTGCACTGTTCTGGATGGTAGAAATAGTACCCTTTGGTCTCCTTAGGATACCCCATGAATATACATGTACAGGACTTTAGGCCTAGCTTATTCGAATTCAATTTCTTGACATAAGCTTTGCAAACCCAAATCCTTAGATAAGACAAGTTGGGCTTTTGTCCACTCCATTGATCATATGGAGTTTTATCTATAGACCCTGACGACACATGGTTTGGTACGTGAGTCGCAGTCTCTAGGACACAACCCTAGAATGATGTGGGAAAATCACAGAAACTCATCAAGGATCTAACCATATCAAGTTAAGTCCTAATCCTCTCTTTTAGATACACCATTATGTTGGGGTGTACATGGAGATGCGAATTTTAATACTATCCCACATTCCTTCATGTCCAACTCAACTTTCTATAGTTGGTATAGTTGTCATTTTGAGATTATCGTTATTGTCTATCTTAAGGACATATTATTATGAAACAGTTCCATAAAGAATATTATTTACATTTAAGGACAATAATCCATCCGTAAAGTAATACTCTCATTTGTCCTAAGTGGACACAGAAATATAATTTCTAGAAACTGAAGAAAGGTCATAACAATCCACGAGTTCTAAGAAACAAGCCCATCGACAAAATCAGACTATAAGATCCTATAGCAAATATAGCACCATTTGCTTCATTTTCAACTAGTAGGTCCACCTATCCCTTGGTGAGCAATCTACTTTGTCGTAGTCCCTACACATCAATCAAATGTGAGTACCACATCTTGTGTCAACAACCCAAGATGTTAATGGGATAAGTTAATCTCAAAAACGTACTTGACGAAGAAGTAACATTGTTCTTCCCTTTTGCTGGGAAGGCCTTGCAATGTTTCCTCCAATGGTTGGGATTCCCACAGTGAGGACAAACACCTTTCCTTTCTGCAATGGTTCTTTCCAATGACTTATGAGCCCTTGCCTTCTTACTTGGGTTGGCTTCAACCACCGTCAACGTTTCTGACATTTTCATGCCTAACTCAATAGCCTTCAACATATCCAGAAGCTCAGAGAGGGTGTTCTTCTTATCATCCTCAATGAAGTCATAGACAAATTGAGAATAAAAATATGGCAAAGACTGTAATATGAGGTCTATCGCTAAACCCTCATTAAGTCCACATCCCAAAATCTCAAGCTTGTTCATATACTCGGTCAATTTGAGTATATGATCGCCAATTTTCATACCCTCTTCCATCTTGCATCTGAATAGAGACTGAGACACCATATGCTTCTCATTTCTTTGAAGAAAATGAAGAATAGAAGTTAAGTCCATTTTCTGGCAATGCTGTCGCAGTAATGGTGTCATTGATGCAAGCATAATGTATCTTGTCATTTCTGCTTTCGCATCATGTGTATGCTTCACATATACATACCCAGTCTCATGGATAGAACTATCTGCAGGCTCTAGTGACAAAGCATGCTCAATGGTGTATAATCTATCGCTTAACTGAAGTATATCGTTTATACTTCTATACCAGTCAACGAAATTCCCACCATTCCATTTCTCTCCCAGTTTGATGATTTGTCGCAGTGATGTTGGGTTCATTTTTGCTCAATTTTAATGAATCTACAAGTGCACAATAAGTAACTGTTATTACAATGTTTATTATTATTGTTTAATAAGGCCTTTTATTAAATAATCGCTCCCACTATTTTCCTCAAGTCAATAGCCCTCCCTATTAACTCGGGAAAGCCCGTTGGCTTTCCTAGTAGACTCCCACCTGGCCTATTTCAAACCTTCACTTTGGTGAACAAGCAAAAATGGGTTGATTAGGTAGGCCAACAAACTTAATCCACGCCAATTGATAGCTCCCACTACCAACCTCAAATGTGAAGAAGCCAACAAGCCAATCACACAATCCAATGGCCTAGCCATCGTCCTTAAGCATGATTCTCAGTATCAGTAGAGTGGACACTATATGTCGTCATGTACACACAATGTGTGTACTTCTCTACCATGCCTATGATGTGTTTATCAACCTTCGCTTTGGCAAACAAGCAAAACTATCATTTTAAGTCGACCCATCACCATTAAGGAAAACTCCAATGAATTTTAACCTCCCATTGGTAGAAATGTACCCTTCGCTTTGGCAAACAAGGTTCCGACAAACAGTGGTTTGACTAAAACCATGGTGATGGAAGGAATATGTGACTTAATATACTTTAATTGAGGGGGTTTATTTGTG